ATTCATACTGCTATGAAATTATACAAAAATGCTTCAATACTGATGAAACTTGGCACAAATGTTGACTGGACCATAGTCTTTGTAACAGCATGCTCAATTTTAAATTTTCTTTTACCATGGCAAACATTGCCAAAAATCACTATTTTGGATTTTTTGGCAATTCTTAATTTTTTAGTTATTGCCCTTTGTTACTTTTCATACTTTTTTCCAGGCCTTTTTTTCCTATCTAAAAAAGCTATGGACTTGAAACTTCATGGGATGATAGATCTCATTGAGATAAAGTGCAGTCCCGTCCCTAGATTTGCCACTACTTGCCAGCTATTTCCACTGAAAAGGGTGGCATTAAGTGTAAAAAAGGTGGCATTAACTGGAAAATGACAAAATTCCACTCTTTTTCCACTGTAGTGGCAAAATTGCCACCAAATGCCACTATCCTTTGGTGGCATTTAGGTGGCATTGAGTGGAAATTTGAACATAGACTTTTTTTATGGTGGCAAAAGGGTGGAAATTGGTGAAAAATGAAGCTTAGTTTATTTTGAAGGTGGAAAATGAGTGGCTTTTCGTGGAAAAGTCAGAAACTCTAACTATTTTCTGGGTGGCAAAATAGTGGAAAAAAACTTAGAAAATTTTGTGAATAACTTTTAGTCGAAAAGGGAAACTCTTAACTATTTTCTGGGTGGCATTGGTGGAAAAAACTGAGAAATCATTATGCATTGCCGGGTTTAAGATTTATTTAAGTCAAAGCTCCAAACTGAAATAAATCTGTTTATAGTTTGTACTCTACCAAAGCATCAAGTGAACTTTTTATCAAAAATATAATTTATTGAAGTTGAACAGTTAGAAAATTTTATCAGAAACTCATATTTCTTAAACATACTAGAATGCCATGAACACAATTCTGATACAAAGTCACTGCCTCACAGTAACGGTATGATAATTCAAGCTGTAAAGTAGCAGGAAAAGACACAGAAATTGGACGTAAAATCACTTTTCCAGGCGTTAAACACATATAATTATGATCAGTAAAAATTAGAAAAGTATGGGGTTACTTAACTTCCCATTTTTTATGGCAGTACTTTTCTTTAGGGATGTAAAATTTGACTTTCAAGTCAAAATGTTTATGTTCCATTCTATGCTTGTAAAATAAAATTACGGCTTTTAAAGTGTACTTTGTTCTTTAGTTATAATCTGTACATTAATTAAATAGTTGAAATGTTCTTCTATGCCCAGAAAATGCATATCTCTGCATAAAGTTTGTTGCTTCTTCTATGATATTTAATGTCAATCTTGAATAAAGTTTGACTTTTGTCTTTTCTTCTAATTGACATAATAAATTGTCTCTTCAATATTACTTTAAACTGCTATCTGGTGAGTACTAACACTTTTCATGTAATGCTAACAATAATTAAAGTGAAAAATGCAAAGGGCAATAACTCCAAAAGTATGCAAAGAGTTATGGTTCTTAAACACAGCACATTACTCAAAAAGATCTATATCTGTGAAGTTTCAAATTAATATCTCCAGTACTTTTTAAGCTTAATGATCAAGACAAAAATTAAGCATAGAGAAGTAAAAAATGGCAATAAACCCCAAATCATGCAATAAAAAGTTATGGTTCCTTGGCATTGTAACTTCTCATAAATGAGATTTAGTTATATGTGGAGTTTAAAATTATTGTCTCTAACATCTTTTGTGCTATGCTTTCAGAGGCTTTAAATCTATTGTAAAAATTAATGTGTGAAAAGTAAATAAGTCATAATGTCTGATAAATTTCTTACAATCAGGATAAGTAAATACTAGCTAGTAAATACTGCATCCTCTAAGATTTAACAACACAGCATACATCTCAGATCTGATAAAACTACTGCCCTCTTATCTAGTAATCTATGAATGGGGGTTAATAGTTTACTCATGCTGACCAGAATGTTCCATTTGATTATTTTGGGAGAGGCAACATTATACATGTTTTTATGTAGAATTTGTCTTAAAACAGCATGCTAAATTATCTTTCAAAAGCTTATTTCTACTCAATCTATTTAGGTATTAGATATAGTTATACATTCAAATGAATGTAAAAAATAAAATGATGGGTGCTATGGTTTTTGGAAAATCCCTCACAATTTAAAATTATAATGGACTGTCCATGCAGTTACGAATTCAAAGGAATTGAGGTCAGTTAAAGCTTGCAAACACAAAGGAAATTATTGATATTGTAGCAATTCTGGAGATATTTTGTTTAAAATGTAAGGGTGCATATTTTTGATTTCTCAAAGAAAACATTTAAAGTCTTATTAGTGTGGTAAATAGAAATGAGAAGTTTTAACTGAAGTGTGAATGTGTAGACAAGAAGATAAACAGCAGAATCATTCCCAGTCAAAGTTTCAGGTAAACAACTTTTACATACAATAATTATTGTTATTTATGCAGAAACTGTTTAGTTTTTGACAGTAAAAATATGAAGTGGTATTGTATAAAATTGTGTTTTATATTTGTTTTGTTTGTAACTTGACTAAAAAGAAAGCTGCATGTACAATGTACATATAAAGAATGTAGGAATATAAAGAATGTAGGAAGATCTTCATCATTTCTTAAATACAATATGTTAGAAATTTTAAGTTTGAGAAAAAAATTATAGAAATTAATCAGTAAGTACAATATCATTATGTACAATATTACATCAATCAAACTATAGATAACCTGAGGTACCTATTACTACAACTTTCATGCTATAAACAATTTTCCTTGTGTGTCACATGTGGAGCAGATTAACAGTAACTGATTTATTAGTAAGTTTCATTCCTTCATTGTTGTAATTCAGCTTTCATGGTGCAGTAGATAATTATATAACCATAACAAGACAGTCTAGAGTAACATGCTATTAGGAGAATGAAAGTTCATAACAGAAACAGCATTAAATAAGAATTATTATTTTGCAGACACAAAGCAATGAGGAGCAGCCTGGAGCAACACATTTGATCTTCAGTGGCTTTACAAAGGTATCTTGTTAATTCAAAGTTATTTTAGAATTAATAAGAAAGAAGTGTCACAGTACCCAATAAGACACTTTTCAGTTCTTGATAAATATAGCTATTAGTCACTATTTACAAACCTACTTTAATTCAAACTCTTTATGACACTTTAATTTGCATTTACATTTTGTTTTACAAATTTTAGAGTTTTTGTACATTTTAGCTTGAAAATTTTATCAAATATTTATCCTGATGAAGGTTCGTTAAGAACTGAAACTGGAAGATTATTAATTACTCAACCTGCACTGGTGTTGATGTGTTGTATTTCTTTATTTCTTTCTTATTTTAAAATTTTAGAGTTGTATACATATACCAAGGTCTTATAAAAGTGTTTCATTTTCTGTCTTTACATATTAGATATTGATAATCATTTTCTGTCTTTACTTATTTGATATTGTTAATCATATTTTAGGACCAAGTGATGGCAGAACTGATGCCATATGCCTCAAAAGTAAGAAAGGTACAGCAAAGCTCTTCAGAATGCTATTCAATATAGAAGAGATTAAAGGCCGCTCATTGTTTGGTATGAGGAAAGGGAACAGAGAGTCTGACACCAGACCTTCTTGTGCAGACAAGGCAAAACTTAAGTTCTTGGAAGGTAACTAATGAACTGAATGAAAATATCATTTTTGATTCTGCGTATATTTTCTGCCTTGGAGTAAATAAGAAAAGTCTGATTCTTCCACGTCTGCAGTGCTGTTTTTTAAAGTGTTTTAATCATATCTATGCACTCAAATTGAATATAGAAATATCCAATAGTCATATAAAAATGTAAGCTTATGTTTTTAATTATTGTATTAATCATTCATAATTTTTTTTGTTTTAGATTGTGCGCTCGAAAAGTTGCCGACAACCTAAAGGACTGAACTCAAACCGTCCAGGAATAGCAAGATAAACTGAAGAAAATAAATGGACTAATGTTTTGCTATTTTTTGAGACAATATATAATTCCATATGGAAACATTAAAAAGGATTATTTTTAAAATTTGTTTGTTTCCAATTTAGGGTACAGGGTGACTTTCAAGCAGTTTCCAGCTATTGCCACCCACAAGGTGGAAAATTTCTGAAAGGGTGAAAATAGGTGGCATTTAGTGGAAACTGAATTTGCCACTATCTGGTGGCAAAATGGTGGAAAAGTGTCTAAATACTCCACCAATTTTCCACCCTTATGGTGGCAAAAGGTGGAAATAAGTGGCATTTGGTGGAAAAATTAAGTTTGCCACTCAATGGTGGCATAATGGTGGAAATTTGTCTAAATACTCCACCAATTTTCCACCATTATGGTGGCAATAAGTGGAAACAAGTGGCATCTAGTGGAAAATTAGTTTGCCACCCTAAGGTGGCATAATGGTGGCATTATGGTGAAAGTTTGTCTAAATACTCCACCAATTTTCCACTCATTGGTGGCAAAAGGTGGAATTAACTGGAAAATTATATAACATCAGTCCTGCTCAAATTTTTCACCATTTTCATGATTTGGGTGGCGTTTTGGTGGCATTATTGGTGGAAAATTGTCTAAATACTCCACCATTGAAAAGGGTGGCATTTAAGTGGCAATTCTAGGGACGGGGTGTTCAAAAATTGGTTCTCTGTACTTGATGGTTTTTGAGTTATTGCCCTTTGTTATTTTCTTATTTTATTTTTGTCTGGGCCATTTTTTTCTCTTAAACTATAAAAGCTATGGACTTGAAACTTCATAGGTCTGGTAGCTTTTCCATTTTCCCCAAAAAAGTGACCATTGATTTACTTTCAAGTAATTTGTGGAAAACAGATTTAAAGAAATCATTGATTTTTTTATTCTTTGAAGATAAGCTTATGTTATTTTCAAATAGTGAAGTACATTTTCACAATTTATTTTGTTTATATTTTTGCTTTATGGAAAGAAAGAACTTATTTTTTATGGGTTGAACATTTTGAATTTTAAGACAATTTTTGTTGGGTCTAAGGAAGGTTCTTTTTAATCCATTTCAGGATGGAATCAAGTTTGTAGTTATCGAGTCAGGTTTGAATGATGATGATGAAACGTAAGTATTTTGTAAAAAAAAATATTTCAGTTTCTATGGTACATCAGCACTGTCAATGTCATTGCAATTGAACTGATAGAATCAATTTAATGTAAATTCTAGTGTTACAATTAATTCTTTAATGACTCAATATATATAGAGGCAAATTAATTGGTCAATCAGATAATTAAACACCAAAAAATTGACCCCCTCCAACTTAGCATGAAAAATGATTTGTTTATACAAGTTTATTTTAGTTAAATTGTGTTGGAAGCTATAAGCTTATTGAAACACTCTCGAATCCGTTCCTGGAACCAACCAGTACTAAGCAATGAATATAAAGTTTCTTGCTGAAGGAAATAACGACTTGCCCCTGATAGGGTTTGAACCCCTGCGGTCAGCAAACCTTAGATTTCTGAATAATGACTGGTCTAAGAACATTGCATGTACTAACTCAATGTGTGTCATTGTACTGGAACTGGATTTTCGCTAACCTCTGGTGTTACAAACTTAAAGCAACACCAGGGGACAAAACCACCTCAAGCTTTAAGCAGGTTAAAGGTTAAGTTATATGATGTATTATATGAAGGTTTTTTGTTATTGTACAATACTGTCAGATGTTTTAATGGTACTTACATGTATATATTACCTTTAACAGACATTTCACAGGTAAAATCTTATTGTAGATTTATGTAGGAATGTGCATATTGTTCTCACCTTGAAAACCTCTGTTTTAATAATGTTCAACAGGTTATATGGCTAAATGTAAACTAGCTGTTTAACAAAAATATATATATATAACCCAGTTCATTAGGCAATGGTTATATACATGTAGGTCATTAGGCAAGGGTTATATAGCAAGCAATCATTTAAAAATGGTCATATAACATGTTGACAGTCTTTATAGCAAATTTTTAATTGTGCATAATTGATTTCTCTGATAAAAAAGCAAATGATTATTAAATTTGCAGCAGCCATTTACAGCGATAAATTATAAAAATGTCCAGATTATCCAATAAAATTTACAAATATGCAGTATTATAAATTTTTATAAAATGGAAAGTAAGATAGTTATTTTACTTGTCTCACTATCATCAAGAGTCAACACTTAATATTTCACCAATTAATTGGCTAACATATTGAAATAAAAAGTCTTAGGCTATATATTTGTATATGGTAATCCATATTGTAATCTACAATTACGGAAAAAAATCTGTTATAAATGTTATTTTTGTTTCTTTTCTGTCTTTCACCTTTAACAGAATGTGTTTTTCAATACACCATAATTGTCATTTGTGCAAATATCAGGTCACTTGATTAGTAATGTACATGTATATGTCACCTTCACTGTATGACATGTTTAGTTTAACCATTTCAGATTTGTCATTATAGAATTAAAATAAGTTATTTTGCCTGTGACAATTCTTAAAATTTGCTTGAACTAATAGCAGTAAAAAACATATTGCTTTTATGCTGAATTATGAAACTAGTTATTGCAATTCAAGTAAATTCTGCACAAACAGAAGTACTGATTTGGCATGATACGAGAAAACCTGGTCTTGACCAGAATTGGGTTAGAATCAAAGATCCCTGGGTTATTGGGATGCATGAATGTTTAGACTGGCATGACATTATAAGACTTACAGTAGCAACTCATTTAAAGCTTTAGAAAACATACAGGCAATAATCATATTTTATAATAAATTGATTATTTCATTATATTTCAGTACCTTCTTCTAACTTGGATCATTTGGACCTGGATAAAGTCAGTATTTACTCGGAACAGTACAGCATCTATTCAAACACCAGTGTGCCTATTACTTATATACACTAATCTGTACTTGTGTTTTTGTGATTTCCAATCAATTAATCAATCATCAGAAGTGACAGTATTCAGTGTCAAGAAATTTCTTAAAGAAATCAAGTGATTTTTTGTTTGTTTTTGTAACTATTTATGTTCATATACATTTTTGTGAGACATAGTCAAAAGCGTTTTTTCAGTATTGATAAAAGTCTTCTTTATAAACATGTAATATATTCTTACACATTGTGTCATTAAATCAAGTGAACATAATTATATTCTATGATACATTTTAACAGAGAATAACCGAGATTCAAGAAACTATATTAATATCTTAAAGTAAGTTTGAGCTGTACCTTCTTTGTGATTTAAACATGCCAATTAAGTCACCAATTATAGTTACTAATTTAATGCACTGCAAGTGACTGTCAGTAAGGTTGGAATGATTCAAAGATATAACAGAATAAAGTTTATATACAGAACATTTTACAAATTTTCAGCAATATTTTTATAGTAGCAATAATAAGGGTTTTTCTATTGTTAAATAAAACTTACTGTTTAAGAGTTTGTTTTCTTTGGTATTAATATCCCAAATTATTTAATGTAATCGGGTATTTTTTTCCGAGGAAATTCTCCTTTGAAATTTATGCTTGTGTCAGAAGTTTAAATTGATTATTGGACATATTCGAACAGGTTTTACAAAACATTCTTTCCCCTTGACCTGGTGTATTTGTGCGAAAGTTAATTTGTAACAGTCCATTTATAATTGAGGAATTCCAATATCAAAATACAACTGAGCTCTGTGTGCCTGAAGTACGTGTGTAAGATGTGCAATATTAAAATGTGATGGGACTAGAATGAGAAATTAGACAACAACCAGAACAATGCAGAATTTATTGATCAGACGATTATCCAAGGTCACTTTGACCTCGAAATCATAAAGGTCATCTAATGGCAATGGACAAAGTTTCTACCAATTTTCACAAACCTAGGCTTATTATCCTTATCATAATATAAGGAAGACAAGGATCTTATATTGTCACTATGACCTTGACCTTTGACTGGACTTAAAAATTAAAAGGGGTCATCTACTGGTCAAATTTTTCTGTTAAATTATGGGACAAGGATTTTACACCAAGTGTGATTGTGACCTAATGAACTAAACAAGAGGGGTATGATGGCCCTGAAGACGCTCACCTGTATATAGGCCCCCGCAGCGGGGCCAGTTTAAATCCCATGGCTTTTATTTGAACAAACTTGGTAGACACCCATTAGATGATGTTTCATGCTAAATACTAAGGTCTAGCTCTTTGGGTTTTTTAAAAGAATATTTTTTTAAGTTTTTTCTTTACACAAATAGTTAAAAACAATGACACACCTGGGGCAGGGCCAGTTTTGACCCCAGGGCTTTTATTTGAACAATCTTTGTAGACACTCAATATAAACTGTCTCATGCCTAATATCTAAACTCTAGCTATTCGGGTTTTTTCAAAGAAGATTTTTAAGTTTTTGCTATACACATATAAGGAAATGAATGTACCCCGGGGCCAGCCAATTTTGACCCCAGGGCTTTTATTTGAACAAACTCACTAAAGATGCTTCGTGCTTAATATCTAAACTCTAGCTATTTGAGTTTTTTCAAAGAAGATTTTTTTAAGTTTTTGTTATACATATAAAAGGAAAATGAATGACCCCTGGGGCGGGGCCAATTTTGATCCCAGGGCTTTTAGTTGAACAAACTTGGTAGACACTCACTAGAAGATGTTTCATGCTTAGTACCTAAACTCTAGCTATTTGGGTTTTTTCCAAAAAGATTTTTTAAGTTTTTGCTTTACACATATAAGGAAAATCAATGACCCCTGGGGCGGGCCAATTTTGACCCAAGGGCTCTTATTTGAACAAACTTGGTAGACATCCATTAGAACATGTTTCATGCTAAATATCTTAGCTCTAGCTCTTTGGGTTCTTTAAAAGAAGAGTTTTTAAATTTTACTATATGCATATAGGGAAAATCAATGACCCCCATGGGCGGGGCCAATTTTGACCCCAGGGCTTTTATTTGAACAAACTTGGTAGACACCCATTAGAACATATTTCATGCTAAGTATCTTATCTCTAGCTCTTTAGGTTCTTTAAAAGAACATTTTTAAAGTTTTTACTATATGCAAATAGCGAAAATCAATGACCCCCTGGGGCAGGGCCAATTTTGACCCAAGGGCTTTTATTTGAACAAACTTGGTAGACACTCACTAGAAGAAGTTTCATGCCAAATATCTAAGCTCTAGCTCTTTAGGTTTTTTAGAAGAAGATATTTAAAGTTTTTTCTTTTGGTTGCCATGGCAACCAGAGTTCTGCATGGAATTAAATTCTTTGAACAATTTTCAAAGGTGACCACCAAAGGATCATTCCTGTGAAGTTTGTGAAGTTTAGTGGTTTATGAGGAGATGTCATTTAAAGTAAAAGTTTACGGAAGACGGACGGACGGACGACGGACCAAAAGGGATCACAAAAGCTCACCCTGTCACTTTGTGACAGGTGAGCTAAAAATTAAATGGGTCATTTACTGGCCGTGCTTCTCTTTCCTTTTAAGTATGAAGATAGCACACCCAATATATTTGTAGTTCTCAAGCAGACATCAATATTGCTGATGAAAATGAGGTGGTGGTGGCAGTGGTAGCTTTCACCGTAAGCCACATTGAATTTACCAGAGCACAGTTCAGCCATCTGGGCAGGATGTCGAGCTGCTTACCAGTACTAGTTGCCTCCACAAGGAACTGATAACTTCTGTACATGGCACAGCAGAGGCACAGAAGCTTGTCCAGACTACTCCTCAGAAACTACCCGTGCAATTTCATCCAAACTTTACTGGAATGATCAGTACCAAGTGTAGTTGTACATAATACCTGCATTTTTTGGTTCAATGATTTTTACTTTGTCCTGTAAAGTTTGGATGAATTTACACCAGTAGTTTCCGAGAAGAAGCCCAGACAAGATTCTGTGAAGCTGGCAACACACAAAAAAAACCCCTTTTTATTCAAGGGCCATAACTTGGCCAAAAATCATTCAACCACAAAACCCGTGCAATATGCTTAAGTACTTGAGCTACAGATCAATCCTGTAAAGTTTCATAGAAATTGCATTACTGGTGGAAGAAACCTTTATTATTAATAATTTCTAATTTTTTTTTCCATAAAAATTCAGAGATCATTTCTAGGGAATAAAAAACATTATCAATTTGTAAATTTGAATAGAATTTTAATATTCTCATATCATATTTACAACCATTTCATTGTCCTGAAACAAAGCAACAATTATATACTAGCACAAACGATATTATAACTCCTTAGGACATGTGCACCGATATTGGCTGAAAAATGTATGAGCGTCACATACTACTGCTATACCAATGTATGACATAGTCGGGTCACAGATCATTTTAATATCAAGATCTTATAAAAAAATGTACTGGCGACATAAAACTTAAAACAATCGTAATTCGACATACAATTTGAATAAAGCATTTTTTTACATGTTCGCTATTATTTTGGATAATGTCACAATTTTTTTTCTTCGACCAGTGCACCTGCCCTAAAAGAGCATTTTAAAGAACAATTTCTGTGTACAAAACATGCAAAAGGAGTGTCTGTCCACTCATAACATACACATTATTTTAAATTGTCATTAAATCAGGGCTATTAATCATGATCAGTTTATTCTAAATTTATTTTTTCAAGAAAAATTATAATATCAAACGTTTATAAATAATTTTTTTTTTCAGTAGAGAAATAGAAGAGAAATTATAAAAATATTAGTAGAAACAGGGTTTGTAAGAAAACAGCATGGATCCTGATCAGTCTGCACGGATGCGCTGGCTGGTCTTGATCCATGCTGGTTGCAAACCTATTATGTTGGTTTTGTCGTGACGAGGCTCATTTATGTTTGACAGAGGAAACAATGTATTAATAAGTCCTGATGTAAACATGTAATTTATTGTGAAGAAACATAATTGCAATGTGGCCAAATAGACTTTAATTAAACTCAAGATACCTGGGTTGAGAAAAAGACACACTTAAATTACAAGGTCACCCTCCCATTAAAGGAACTCCACTGACACCAAAAAATATAACACTTTTAATTTCTTAAATAAATGTAAGACAGAAGGATATGCAAAAGATAAGTAATATACTCAGAAATAAATTAAAAAATCATACTTTTATGCTATTCTTAGCGCAATTGAATGAAAAGTGCTGCAATGCTTTTCAAATTTTGGGTCATATTTTACAATTAGAATAACTGTTCTGGAAAATCAGAGTGAGCAATGATCTGAATTTTGCACACAAGTTACAGGTGTAGACCTACATGAAATGGAATATTAAAAAGATTAAAGTAATTTGCAGTCCCATATCATATCAAATAAACCTCAGTGGAGTCCCTTTAACATAGATACAGTGATACTTCACATTCAACTAATGTCTTTTCACACACTGAGATGGCTATTTTAATGAACAAGAAATAGTCATGGAAAGCATTAAAATGAAAAGACTTTGTATGGACATGTACCCGTCCTGTTAGTGTCTCCAGATGGACATTGATATTTGAATAAATAACAGAATGTGCAGGCTGGATTGACTTGTATACTTAGTGGCAAAATCTAGATCACTTTGGTTCCAGAAAGTTAATGGTACAGCTATTTCTATATCTTACAAATTTATTTAACTGAGAAATTATTTATTTTTAGGAAACAGTTTACAAACATTTTTATAATAATTGTTAACATTATTTTTATTCATTAACATTCATATTGATAAAATTTCAACATAAAACAATGAATTCTTCATTGAAAAATTTTAGTATTCAATTCACATCTAGATTATAATCAAAACATATTTGCAAAAAGTCTTAAAGTAATTTTGAAACCATTATCATATTATTCATAGAATTTCAGATTGCCTTGTAAACTAATTAATCACTGACGAAATAAATCATTAAAAATACATGTTGCCGGAAAGAAAATGAACAAGAGGGCCATGATGGCCCTGAGGTCGCTCACCTGTATATAGGCCTCCCCCTGGCAGGGCCAATTTTAACCAAAGGGCTTTTATTTGAACAAACTTG